GTGCTTGCGTAACTGCTTCGTGAATCTGACCCCCAGGTTCGTAAGTGCTTGCTTAACTGCTTCGTGAATCTGGCCCCAGGTTCGTAAGTGCTTGCGTAACTGCTTCGTGAATCTGGCCCCAGGTTCGTAAGTGCTTGTGTAACTGCTTCGTGAATCTGGCCCCAGGTTCGTAAGTACTTGCGTAACTGCTTCGTGAATCTGGCCCCCAGGTTCGTAAGTACTTGCGTAACTGCTTCGTGAATCTGGCCCCAGGTTCGTAAGTGCTTGCGTAACTGCTTCGTGAATCTGGCCCCAGGTTCGTAAGTACTTGCGTAACTGCTTCGTGAATCTGGCCCCAGGTTCGTAAGTGCTTGCGTAACTGCTTCGTGAATCTGGCCCCAGGTTCGTAAGTACTTGCGTAACTGCTTCGTGAATCTGATCCCAGGTTCGTAAGTACTTGCGTAACTGCTTCGTGAATCTGGCCCCAGGTTCGTAAGTGCTTGTGTAACTGCTTCGTGAATCTGACCCTCAGGTTCGTAAGTGCTTGCTTAACTGCTTCGTGAATCTGGCCCCAGGTTCGTAAGTGCTTGCGTAACTGCTTCGTGAATCTGACCTCCAGGTTCGTAAGTGCTTGCCTAACTGCTTCGTGAATCTGACCCCAGGTTCGTAAGTGCTTGCGTAACTGCTTCGTGAATCTGGCCCCAGGGTCGTAAGTGCTGGCGTAACTGCTTCGTGAATCTGGCCCCAGGTTTGTAAGTGCTTGCGTAACTGCTTCGTGAATCTGGCCCGAGGTTCGTAAGTGCTTGCGTAACTGCTTCGTGAATCCGGCCCCCAGGTTCGTAAGTGCTTGCGTAACTGCTTCGTGAATCTGACCCCAGGTTCGTAAGTGCTTGCGTAACTGCTTCGTGAATCTGGCCCCAGGTTCGTAAGTGCTTGCGTAACTGCTTCGTGAATCTGGTCCCAGGTTCGTAAGTGCTTGCGTAACTGCTTCGTGAATCTGGCCCCAGGTTCGTAAGTGCTTGCGTAACTGCTTCGTGAATCTGGCCCCAGGTTCGTAAGTGCTTGCGTAACTGCTTCGTGAATCTGGCCCCAGGTTCGTAAGTGCTTGCGTAACTGCTTCGTGAATCTGGTCCCAGGTTCGTAAGTGCTTGCGTAACTGCTTCGTGAATCTGGCCCCAGGTTCGTAAGTGCTTGCGTAACTGCTTCGTGATTCTGGCCCCAGGTTCGTAAGTGCTTGCGTAACAGCTTCGTGAATCTGGCCCCAGGTTCATAAGTGCTTGCGTAACTGCTTCGTGAATCTGGTCCCAGGTTCGTAAGTGCTTGCGTAACTGCTTCGTGAATCTGGTCCCAGGTTCGTAAGTGCTTGCGTAACTGCTTCGTGAATCTGGCCAGTATTACTGAAGGCAATTTAATGGTGGTCGCTCGAACGATAGTGCCTAAAATGTACCTCTTTCCACGTTTCCTCGAACCGCATAACTGCCTTTTCCTCCGTCTAATCGTATAGCACAGGCGTCTACCTCATCACCTCGGACCAGCGGACCCGAGTTCAATCCCCCGAGGCGGGGGAGAAATGGGTTGGCATTGTATATCTGGCACTGAAATAGGCCACTGTGTAGTTAGCAGAGTGATTGTGGGTTGTTTAGCACTCTGCAAGCCCCATTACCACAGTGCCATTAGCCCCATTAGCACAGTGCCATTAGCCCCATTACCACAGTGTCATTAGCCCCATTACCACAGTGCCATTAGCCCCATTACCACAGTGCCATTAGCCCCATTACCACAGTGCCATTAGCCCCATTACCACAGTGTCATTAGCCCCATTACCACAGTGCCATTAGCCCCATTACCACAGTGCCATTAGCCCCATTACCATAGTGTCAATTAGCTCCATTACCATAGTGCCATTAGCCCCATTACCACAGTGCCATTAGCCCCATTACCATAGTGTCAATTAGCTCCATTACCATAGTGCCATTAGCCCCATTAACACAGTGCCATTAGCCCCATTACCATAGTGTCAATTAGCTCCATTACCATAGTGCCATTAGCCCCATTACCACAGTGCCATTAGCCCATTACCACAGTGTCACCAACCCATTACCAACCCATTAATGTGTCTCAGGGCCCCATTAACAACAGCGTCTGAGAGACACTGATCTTAATGGGACGTTAAATGAGCAATATCAAGGTTAGGTTAGGTTAGGTTAGGTTAGGTTAGGTTAGGTTAGGTTAGGTTAGGTTATATCAAGAGCAGGTTAGGTTAGGTTATATCAAGAGCAGGTTAGGTTAGGTTATATCAAGAGCAGGTTAGGTTAGGTTATATCAAGAGCAGGTTAGGTTACGTTATATCAAGAGCAGGTTAGGTTAGGTTATATCAAGAGCAGGTTAGGTTAGGTTATATCAAGAGCAGGTTAGGTTAGGTTATATCAAGAGCAGGTTAGGTTAGGTTATATCAAGAGCAGGTTAGGTTAGGTTATATCAAGAGCAGGTTAGGTTAGGTTATATCAAGAGCAGGTTAGGTTAGGTTATATCAAGAGCAGGTTAGGTTAGGTTATATCAAGAGCAGGTTAGGTTAGGTTATATCAAGAGCAGGTTAGGTTAGGTTATATCAAGAGCAGGTTAGGTTAGGTTATATCAAGAGCAGGTTAGGTTAGGTTATATCAAGAGCAGGTTAGGTTAGGTTATATCAAGAGCAGGTTAGGTTAGGTTATATCAAGAGCAGGTTAGGTTAGGTTATATCAAGAGCAGGTTAGGTTAGGTTATATCAAGAGCAGGTTAGGTTAGGTTATATCAAGAGCAGGTTAGGTTAGGTTATATCAAGAGCAGGTTAGGTTAGGTTATATCAAGAGCAGGTTAGGTTAGGTTATATCAAGAGCAGGTTAGGTTAGGTTATATCAAGAGCAGGTTAGGTTAGGTTATATCAAGAGCAGGTTAGGTTAGGTTATATCAAGAGCAGGTTAGGTTAGGTTATATCAAGAGCAGGTTAGGTTAGGTTATATCAAGAGCAGGTTAGGTTAGGTTATATCAAGAGCAGGTTAGGTTAGGTTATATCAAGAGCAGGTTAGGTTAGGTTATATCAAGAGCAGGTTAGGTTAGGTTATATCAAGAGCAGGTTAGGTTAGGTTATATCAAGAGCAGGTTAGGTTAGGTTATATCAAGAGCAGGTTAGGTTAGGTTATATCAAGAGCAGGTTAGGTTAGGTTATATCAAGAGCAGGTTAGGTTAGGTTATATCAAGAGCAGGTTAGGTTAGGTTATATCAAGAGCAGGTTAGGTTAGGTTATATCAAGAGCAGGTTAGGTTAGGTTATATCAAGAGCAGGTTAGGTTAGGTTATATCAAGAGCAGGTTAGGTTAGGTTATATCAAGAGCAGGTTAGGTTAGGTTATATCAAGAGCAGGTTAGGTTAGGTTATATCAAGAGCAGGTTAGGTTAGGTTATATCAAGAGCAGGTTAGGTTAGGTTATATCAAGAGCAGGTTAGGTTAGGTTATATCAAGAGCAGGTTAGGTTAGGTTATATCAAGAGCAGGTTAGGTTAGGTTATATCTAGAGCAGGTTAGGTTAGGTTATATCAAGAGCAGGTTAGGTTAGGTTATATCAAGAGCAGGTTAGGTTAGGTTATATCAAGAGCAGGTTAGGTTAGGTTATATCAAGAGCAGGTTAGGTTAGGTTACATCAAGAGCAGGTTAGGTTAGGTTATATCAAGAGCAGGTTAGGTTAGGTTATATCAAGAGCAGGTTAGGTTAGGTTATATCAAGAGCAGGTTAGGTTAGGTTACATCAAGAGCAGGTTAGGTTAGGTTATATCAAGAGCAGGTTAGGTTAGGTTATATCAAGAGCAGGTTAGGTTAGGTTATATCAAGAGCAGGTTAGGTTAGATTATATCAAGTTAGAGCAATATCAAGGTTAGGTTAGGTTAGGTTAGGTTAGGTTAGGTTAGGTTAGGTTAGGTTAGGTTAGGTTAGGTTATATCAAGAGCAGGTTAGGTTATATCAAGAGCAGGTTAGGTTAGATTATATCAAGAGCAGGTTAGGTTAGGTTATATCAAGAGCAGGTTAGGTTAGGTTATATCAAGAGCAGGTTAGGTTAGGTTATATCAAGAGCAGGTTAGGTTAGGTTATATCAAGTTAGAGCAATATCAAGGTGCAGGACTCCACACCTGAGACGCGTGTTGCAAGGTGTTCGTGCAATTATCTTGCAATATGTCAGCATCTTCTTATGAGGCTTTTGTTTACTTCTATTTATTCACTTTATTATTTATTTATGTATGTTTATTTATTAATTAATTTATTTTTATGGATGTGTCAGATGGTTCTGGCACTTGTGGGGATGTGTCAGATGGTTCTGGCACTTGTGGGGATGTGTCAGATGGTTCTGACACTTGTGGGGATGTGTCAGATGGTTCTGACACTTGTGGGGATGTGCCAGATGGTTCTGACACTTGTGGGGATGTGTCAGATGGTTCTGACACTTGTGGGGATGTGTCAGATGGTTCTGACACTTGTGGGGATGTGTCAGATGGTTCTGACACTTGTGGGGATGTGTCAGATGGTTCTGACACTTGTGGGGATGTGTCAGATGGTTCTGACACTTGTGGGGGATGTGTCAGGTGGTTCTGACACTTGTGGGGATGTGCCAGATGGTTCTGACACTTGTGAGGATGTGCCAGATGGGTCTGACACTTGTGGGGATGTGCCAGATGGGTCTGACACTTGTGGGGATGTGTCAGGTGGTTCTGACACTTGTGGGGATGTGCCAGATGGTTCTGACACTTGTGGGGATGTGTCAGATGGTTCTGACACTTGTGGGGATGTGCCAGATGGTTCTGACACTTGTGGGGGATGTGTCAGGTGGTTCTGACACTTGTGGGGATGTGTCAGATGGTTCTGACACTTGTGGGGATGTGTCAGATGGTTCTGACACTTGTGGGGATGTGTCAGATGGTTCTGACACTTGTGGGGGATGTGTCAGGTGGTTCTAACACTTGTGGGGATGTGTCAGGTGGTTCTGACACTTGTGCGGGATGTGTCAGGTGGTTCTGACACTTGTGGGGATGTGTCAGCTGGTTCTGACACTTGTGGGGGATGTGTCAGGTGGTTCTGACACTTGTGGGGATGTGTCAGCTGGTTCTGGCACTTGTGGGGATGTGTCAGATGGTTCTGACACTTGTGGGGATGTGTCAGATGGTTCTGACACTTGTGGGATGTGTCAGATGGTTCTGACACTTGTGGGGATGTGTCAGATGGTTCTGATACTTGTAGGGATGTGCCAGCTTGGTTCTGGCACTTGTGGGGATGTGTCAGATGGTTCTGACACTTGTGGGGATGTGTCAGATGGTTCTGACACTTGTGGGGATGTGTCAGATGGTTCTGATACTTGTGGGGATGTGTCAGATGGTTCTGACACTTGTGTGGATGTGCCAGATGGTTCTGACACTTGTGTGGATGTGCCAGATGGTTCTGGCACTTGTGGGGGATGTGTCAGATGGTTCTGGTACCAGTGGAGATGTGTCAGATTGATTCTGACGCAAGTGGGGATGTGCCAGGTGGTTCTGACACTTGTGGGAATGTGCCAGATGGTTCTGACACTTGTGGGGATGTGCCAGATGGTTCTGATACTTGCGGGGATGTGCCAGATGGTTCTGACACTTGTGTGGATGTGCCAGATGGTTCTGACACTTGTGGGGATGTGCCAGATGGTTCTGACACTTGTGGGGATGTGCCAAATCGTTCTGACACTTCTGGGGATGTGCTAGATGGTTCTGGCACTTGTGGGGATGTGCCAGATGGTTCTGATACTTGCGGGGATGTGCCAGATGGTTCTGATACTTGTGGGGATGTGCCAGATGGTTCTTACACTTGTGGGGGATGTGTCAGATGGTTCTGATACTTGTGGGGATGTGTCAGATGGTTCTGACATTTGTGGGGGATGTGTCAGATGGTTCTGATACTTGTGGGGATGTGCCAGATGGTTCTGACACTTGTGGGGGATGTGTCAGATGGTTCTGACACTTGTGGGGGATGTGTCAAATGATCCTGACACTCACAGGGATGTGCCAGATAGTTCTGGCACTCACAGGGATGTGCCAAGTAGTTCATGCACTCACAGGGATGTGCCAAGTAGTTCATGCACTCACAGGGATGTGCCAGATAGTTCTGGCACTCACAGGGATGTGCCAGATAGTCACCAGTCCCTGGCACCCTTGGCAGGGACGGGTGCCAGCTGGCTCGAGTGCCACCATCCTGGGATGACCCTTCTAATGGCCAGTGATTTGAGGGACTGCGGTTGGGCTCGATTTTTTTTTTTTTGTCACAGCTGATAGCTCTGAGACAGTGGTGCCAAGTTATTGGTGCCAGGTTAGTGGTGCCAAGACATGCATTTGTCTCTTATATCTTTTAAGACAGGGGTGGGTAACCCTTGGCACACGTGCCGAACTTGGCATGCACACCCAGGTCTCACATTACAGAAAAAAAGAATGAAATAAATATTCAATTTCTGTGCTGTGTTTTTTGCTAATTAAAATATACACAAATATATATATATATATATATATATATATATATATATATATATATATATATATATATATATATATATATATATATATATATATATATATATATATATATTATCACAGTCAATGCAGTTGATGTCGGGGCTCAACGCCCTCAGGGGCCCGGTCCCCGACCAGGCCTTCTACCCATCATTCACTGACGCAGATGAGTTATGAGAGAGAGAGAGAGTTCTTAGTCTGGATCAGATGGAAGGGGGGGAGGGAGGAGGACGGAACACGTTGGGCTCTGGCCAGAGTTCAAACGCCTCAGCCCTCCACTCTGGATGAATTTTTGAAATACGAGAGGACTAGGATGTACAAGTTATTGTTCTACAAGCGTATGGTAGACTGTATTCACCTAATTGTATTCATCTAATTGTATTCACCTAGTTGTGTTTACGAGGGTTGAGCTCTGCTCTTTCGGCCCGCCTCTCAACTGTCAATCAACTGTTTCTAACTACTACTTTTGTTCACACCATACACACACCCTGGGAAGCAGCCCGTGACAGCTGTCTAACTCCCAGGTACCCATTTACTGCTAGATAACAGGGGGAATCAGGATAAAAGAATCGCTGATCATTTTCTTTCCGCCATCGCTGGGGGATCGAACCCCAATCCACAGGACTACGTATCCAGCGTGCTGTCCACACAGCCACCAGGCACCCCCTGTGTGTGTGTGTGTGAACAAAACCTAAGATTCAATAAGAATGTCTTTAATCTTCCCAGCAGAAGAGCGAGAGTTGTGACTCAACATCAGCTGACCTGAAGGTTGGACCTGAATCACTGTTGTTGTTGTTAAAGATTCGCTACCTGGAACAAAGTTCTAAGTAGCACGGGCTATGGTGAGCCCCCTCTATCAGTAATTCACTCAACTTATCATTACTCTCCCCAGAGTCTTCACATGCTCGTTTGGTCGTAAGTTTACGCGTGTTGACCGAAAGTGTTGGTTATGCGAGTCTGAAGTCTTAATTTCAAACTGCAAATATGAGCAGAGAGTCAGAATTCGGCTTATAAATCACGCTCAGGAGTCAAATTTCCGACTTTTCAGATATTTTGAAAACTGCAGGGGGAAGTCTGGCCTAAATATGACCCATCGCAGTTTCCAGTAATTGGCATATTTTCAATATAAAAAGTCGTAATTTGAAAATGAAAATAGGGGCACAGAGTCAGAATTCGACTCAAAAATCACGCTCAGGGGTCAAATTTCCGACATTTCAGATATTTTGAAAACTGTAAGGGGGGTTTGGGCAAAATATGACCCACCGCCGTTTTCAGTAATTCGCATATTTTCAGTATAAAAATTCGTAATTTGAAAATGAAAATAGGTTCAGAGAGTCTGAATTCGGCTCAATAATCACGCTCAGGTGTCAATTTTTTGACATTTCAGATACTTTGAAAACTACAAAGGGGGTTTGTGTACTGTGTGGCCCCTTGTGTGTGGTGGTGTGTGTGTACTGTGTGGCCCCTTGTGTGTGGTGGTGTGTGTGTACTGTGTGGCCCCTTGTGTGTGGTGGTGTGTGTGTACTGTGTGGCCCCTTGTGTGTGGTGGTGTGTGTGTACTGTGTGGCCCCTTGTGTGTGGTGATGTATGTGTACTGTGTGGCCCCTTGTGTGTGGTGGTGTGTGTGTGTACTGTGTGGCCCCTTGTGTGTGGTGATGTATGTGTACTGTGTGGCCCCTTGTGTGTGGTGGTGTGTGTGTACTGTGTGGCCCCTTGTGTGTGGTGGTGTGTGTGTACTGTGTGGCCCCTTGTGTGTGGTGGTGTGTGTGTACTGTGTGGCCCCTTGTGTGTGGTGGTGTGTGTGTACTGTGTGGCCCCTTGTGTGTGGTGGTGTGTGTGTACTGTGTGGCCCCTTGTGTGTGGTGGTGTGTGTGTACTGTGTGGCCCCTTGTGTGTGGTGGTGTGTGTGTACTGTGTGGCCCCTTGTGTGTGGTGGTGTATGTGTACTGTGTGGCCCCTTGTGTGTGGTGGTGTATGTGTACTGTGTGGCCCCTTGTGTGTGGTGGTGTATGTGTACTGTGTGGCCCCTTGTGTGTGGTGGTGTGTGTGTACTGTGTGGCCCCTTGTGTGTGGTGGTGTATGTGTACTGTGTGGCCCCTTGTGTGTGGTGGTGTGTGTGTACTGTGTGGCCCCTTGTGTGTGGTGGTGTATGTGTACTGTGTGGCCCCTTGTGTGTGGTGATGTGTGTGTACTGTGTGGCCCCTTGTGTGTGGTGGTGTGTGTGTACTGTGTGGCCCCTTGTGTGTGGTGATGTATGTGTACTGTGTGGCCCCTTGTGTGTGGTGGTGTGTGTGTACTGTGTGGCCCCTTGTGTGTGGTGGTGTGTGTATACTGTGTGGCCCCTTGTGTGTGGTGGTGTATGTGTACTGTGTGGCCCCTTGTGTGTGGTGGTGTGTGTGTACTGTGTGGCCCCTTGTGTGTGGTGCTGTATGTGTACTGTGTGGCCCCTTGTGTGTGGTGGTGTGTGTGTACTGTGTGGCCCCTTGTGTGTGGTGGTGTGTGTGTACTGTGTGGCCCCTTGTGTGTGGTGGTGTGTGTATACTGTGTGGCCCCTTGTGTGTGGTGGTGTGTGTGTACTGTGTGGCCCCTTGTGTGTGGTGGTGTATGTGTACTGTGTGGTCCCTTGTGTGTGGTGGTGTGTGTATACTGTGTGGCCCCTTGTGTGTGGTGGTGTGTGTATACTGTGTGGCCCCTTGTGTGTGGTGGTGTGTGTGTACTGTGTGGCCCCTTGTGTGTGGTGGTGTATGTGTACTGTGTGGCCCCTTGTGTGTGGTGGTGTGTGTGTACTGTGTGGCCCCTTGTGTGTGGTGGTGTGTGTGTACTGTGTGGCCCCTTGTGTGTGGTGGTGTATGTGTACTGTGTGGCCCCTTGTGTGTGGTGGTGTGTGTGTACTGTGTGGCCCCTTGTGTGTGGTGGTGTGTGTGTACTGTGTGGCCCCTGGTGTGTGGTGGTGTATGTGTACTGTGTGGCCCCTTGTGTGTGGTGGTGTGTGTGTACTGTGTGGCCCCTTGTGTGTGGTGGTGTGTGTGTACTGTGTGGCCCCTTGTGTGTGGTGGTGTGTGTGTACTGTGTGGCCCCTTGTGTGTGGTGGTGTGTGTGTACTGTGTGGCCCCTTGTGTGTGGTGGTGTGTGTGTACTGTGTGGCCCCTTGTGTGTGGTGGTGTGTGTGTACTGTGTGGCCCCTTGTGTGTGGTGGTGTGTGTGTACTGTGTGGCCCCTTGTGTGTGGTGGTGTGTGTGTACTGTGTGGCCCCTTGTGTGTGGTGGTGTGTGTGTACTGTGTGGCCCCTTGTGTGTGGTGGTGTGTGTGTACTGTGTGGCCCCTTGTGTGTGGTGGTGTGTGTGTACTGTGTGGCCCCTTGTGTGTGGTGGTGTGTGTGTACTGTGTGGCCCCTTGTGTGTGGTGGTGTGTGTGTACTGTGTGGCCCCTTGTGTGTGGTGGTGTGTGTGTACTGTGTGGCCCCTTGTGTGTGGTGGTGTGTGTGTACTGTGTGGCCCCTTGTGTGTGGTGGTGTGTGTAGTGTGTGGCCCCTTGTGTGTGGTGGTGTGTGTACTGTGTGGCCCCTTGTGTGTGGTGGTGTGTGTGTACTGTGTGGCCCCTTGTGTGTGGTGGTGTGTGTGTACTGTGTGGCCCCTTGTGTGTGGTGGTGTGTGTGTACTGTGTGGCCCCTTGTGTGTGGTGGTGTGTGTGTACTGTGTGGCCCCTTGTGTGTGGTGGTGTGTGTATACTGTGTGGCCCCTTGTGTGTGGTGGTGTGTGTATACTGTGTGGCCCCTTGTGTGTGGTGGTGTGTGTATACTGTGTGGCCCCTTGTGTGTGGTGGTGTGTGTGTACTGTGTGGCCCCTTGTGTGTGGTGGTGTATGTGTACTGTGTGGTCCCTTGTGTGTGGTGGTGTGTGTATACTGTGTGGCCCCTTGTGTGTGGTGGTGTGTGTATACTGTGTGGCCCCTTGTGTGTGGTGGTGTGTGTGTACTGTGTGGCCCCTTGTGTGTGGTGGTGTATGTGTACTGTGTGGCCCCTTGTGTGTGGTGGTGTGTGTGTACTGTGTGGCCCCTTGTATGTGGTGGTGTGTGTGTACTGTGTGGCCCCTTGTGTGTGGTGGTGTATGTGTACTGTGTGGCCCCTTGTGTGTGGTGGTGTGTGTGTACTGTGTGGCCCCTTGTGTGTGGTGGTGTGTGTGTACTGTGTGGCCCCTTGTGTGTGGTGGTGTATGTGTACTGTGTGGCCCCTTGTGTGTGGTGGTGTGTGTGTACTGTGTGGCCCCTTGTGTGTGGTGGTGTGTGTGTACTGTGTGGCCCCTTGTGTGTGGTGGTGTGTGTGTACTGTGTGGCCC